TACATAATGTCTTCCTTTTCTCTAATGATGTGATTTTTTTTTGGATTTGTTTTAAGTTTGAAACATGGTTAAACTGAAAACTTATTGGCGGTGAGGTAATTAACTTTGGACAGAGACTCTATGGCGTCCATTAAAAATGAGGTCAAGGTCAATTCGGAGTCGGATTTTACAAAAGGTAATGTCTTATACCAAAAGTTCCATCCAAGAAAAAATTAAAAAAAAAAGGGGTCTTATCCCGACAGAATATATAGGCATCATCAGGAATTCAAGATATTGTCTTACGTGAAGATCTGGTATTCACTCTAGCCCGGATATGTGATAGTAGAAATTATACTAGCTACTAAAAATCAACAGTTAGTAACCTAAGTTTAGGCCGAGCTATATACATGTCAGTTTGAGGTTCGTCACTATTGGTTCGGGACAAATTTGATTCGGTCTTAAATTTTCTGAGTTTGAGGTCGAACTGAGCCGACCCAGTGTAATTATCCTACTTTTTAAGATTTTTTAAAAATACCTTATAAAATTCCAAACAAAACCGAGCCGGTTCTAAATTTTTTAAACTTAGAGTCGGGTTGGACCGACCCTCTCTCTTTTAAAGTCTCCGGTTTGACCCTGAATCTCATACTAGACAACCCAAACTTACACTTCTATCATCACTTATTCCTTCTAGTTTTTTTGGATCTTCATCAAACTTTAGTTTTTTATTTTTATAGAAGCATATAGAGCTGTATTTTTTAATGCAATAAAGGGAAAAAGAATGATAAATAATAACTTAAAAAAAACAGAGAGAATGATGGTACAATAATTTTAAAAAGGAAACATAACATTAATATAAAATAAATATAAAATTAGAGTGGGTGTATGAAGGTAAAATAGGTATTATGAAAATAGTATCTATAAAAGGACAGATTTTTTATTACTAGGGGTATTTATAAAATTTATGGGTGTAAATATAACTATTTTCAAGAAAATTGTTAAACTCACTTTTAGAGTGCATAAATATAAATTTTTACCCTTTACTATTAATACATATACTCTAATATAATTATTTAACTAAAAAATATAAAGGGTATTTATCTCCTACTCTCCTTTCCCCAAATTAATATTAGTTTGAGATAATTTTGTACGTTTAAATTTACAAATTTTTTTGAATATTACAAAATGAGTAAACATCACATGATAATTATCAGTATAGTATAACATTTTGTACTGCCAATGATAAAATTATTTTAATGATATAAAATCTTACTATTCTTGTAATATTTTAAAAATTTTACTATATTTAAAGTGTACTATTTAAATTGTACAATATGTGTAAAGAGCCCAATTTTTCCAAAAATACAAAGAACCACACTGCATCTGTACAACACATATATTTATACATAAACAGGAAAATCTCTATAAATTAATATTACTGGGAGTAAGAAAAGGTGTTATTTATGAATATAGGTATATCTAGAACTGTAAGTTTAGGTCGGCTCGAGACTTGACAATGTTGGTCCGGTCTCAGCCCGGCCCAACCCATTTAAGTGTTTGGGCGGCCCGGTCCGGCTCTAACTCCCGGACCGGACCCGGCCTAGATTTCAAGTTCAAAATCATCTTTTTTTTTTTTTAAATCTTTTCTTAAAAATACCTTGTAAATTTCGGGTTCATCTGACCCTCTTTCTTTTAGGCTCGACCCACTAAAAATAATGTGTCGAGTCAGGCCGGCCCGAAATTCCCATTCGAACAAGTAATGAAATAAAAGCAATCATGCGATGTTTCTAAAATACTTCGCAAGGTGAAAATATAGGGATATCGTTAATAAAGTTGTTCTAAAAAATAGAAAAATAATCGTATTGAATTCACACGTGAAAACTGACGCTGATTATTGATTTTGGTTTTAGGGTAAGGGATGAGTTTCAACGTTACTTGTTTTGCATGGTGCGGCATAAACCCTTAACAACTTATGTATATGATTTAACAACTTATAGGAAAGAGGTGCTCTTTTCCACCAAGTTGTACACACAATTGTGTTATTTTTGAGTTCTAAATACATTTATTATACCTTTTCGTATTTTCAAAACTTCATTAAAAATAAAATAAAAAAATTGTAAGAGTCCCATATTAGAAAGAAATGAGAATCTCTTTCAACTACTCTATATAAAAAAACTCTAATTTTTTTTTTCCAATTTGTCCCTTAGTCTCACATGCTTATTTTGAATTTCTTTATATAGGGGGTTTCAAAATATTTTAAGTTTTTAAACTTTGACTATGAATAGATATCTCACGTGCTTATTTTGAATTTTCTTTATATACGGGGTTTTAAAATATTTTAAATTTTTAAATTTTGACTATATAAATAGATAAAATATTAAAGCATGTCGCTATAGTCCTATAATTTAGAAATGTTTGGACTTGTTCCACAATAAGATCTCATTCATTTTACCGATTCGAGTTTTCTTAGAGTAAAAAATTCTCAGAAACAATCACATTTAATTTTTTTACTACAGTAAAAAACTCTCATATAAAATCATATCTTAACTCAAATTAGCAAACTAAACGGGCCCTAAATGTTGCTCATCCACATAGAATACATGGAGTTGCTCTTAAATTTTTAAAATGATCAAACGGCTTGCCCATCCACGTAGATTACGTGTAGAGTTGCTCGTGACTTTTAAATGATCAAACGGTGGTTATTATTCGTGAAAGGGGATGAGTTTTTATATATGAGAGAGAATATGAGGAATAAAGAAAAAAAAAGGTTCATAAAAAATGAGTTGAGTGAGGCTGAATTAAAAAGTTGCAGTTGAGGGACCCCAGAGACTATAAGGCAGAGATAGAGGCATTCCATCTTTAAAGGCTTTCGAGTTTGTGTTGAATAGTAAATAAGTTCTCTCATATTTTTTTTTCTTTTTTGAAAACTACATTTAAATTCAGGGTAAATAATTCTAAAATTGTGAGAGTAATTTTGCTTTTTTCTTTTTTTTTTTTAGTCAAATTATAAAGAGCCGTTGATACAGACTTTAATAACTTCAATATTTTTTCGTGCTCAATCTATCTAAAGATGTTAACTTTCTTTCTCCAAAAAGAATTCTCTTTGATTTGCATATCATTAACATTACGATGATGATTTTCGTAATCATCACATCCACGTTTTCAATATTGAGGAAACAACATCACTTCAACATTCAAATGTTAATGCCTGACAGCTGCTCCAAATAAATATAAAACCTTCACGACAATCGTATTCGCATACGATAAACGACCATTCGTTTAACTACCATGCTTAAAAACGACTTCTTATTCTCAAAATACAATCTCATCCAACCGTTGCAATTCACCACAAGAGTATTACTCTACTTTGCAGTCGGTTACGATAGTAGACACTAAGGACTCGTTTATTTTATCGATTTGAGTTTTCAGTTTTAGATTTTTATAATAAAAAGTTATCAAAAAATGTCACATTTAACTTTTTCTGCTACAGTGAAAAGCTCTCATAAAATATCACATCTCAACTCGAATTGAAAACTCGAATTTGCGAAATGAACGAGACATTTTTAACGATTGATAATAAAACTTTTCTATTCTACCCTCCAAAGAATTTGTCAAAAAGGAATGAAATAATATATTATTCTACTGATATTTACGAATATGTCCTCCATAACAGTTAATCGGTGCAATATTTTTGTATTTGGAACCCTGAGTAGGTAAAAAAACAAGTATACACCAGCAAAAACCGGTTAAGATGACACCCTATGATGCCACGTGTTTAATGTGAGTGGGGGAAATGTCCCCCGTAAAGTGTTGCTGGCAAACAGAAAATACCAAATAAGAACTGTTTATGGAAAAGAAAACTACATCATTGGAACAATTGCAAGTGCAGAATCAACAGTATACAAATTTACACATAACCAAATTTTGTAGAAAGTTAAAACTTTTACTCCATATTCAAAAGCGAACGTTACTTTCTAAAAGAGAGCAGCCGGGCCCGAGCAAAAACAAAAAGGGTGGCCACCAAAGTTTATTTACAAACTCGTCACCGGATGCTTAGTTTAGGGCGGGGTTTGTATCTTCCGCGGAGGAAGACGGTTGCCTAATCAAATCTAAAATAGGGATGGAATCGTCATTAGACTTGAGATGTTTTTAGACGCGTTGGTCTCCATCTCGATCTATCCTGTGGAGGTTGTAGTCTGCAAGAGAAGTTGAGTCGTCTTGTAGTACACACATTGATTATCGCCTATATGTGTTTACCAACTACTCGTCTTTTCTACCTTTTTTGTTTCATTGGTGTTGAGAGGTCTGCTCTCCTTAGTATTTTGATGTTCTAACTTGTGGATTTATTCGTTTGTCATTTGTAATAATGGTGGTTCTTACCCCAATTAGTTTAAGTTATTATTTTTTCGCCTGCATATATATATAATATTGTAGTTTTTATCTAGTCTTTGTGCTATGGGTTTTTCGACATCAGTTGATCAGATTGTTTCTATCAATTGTGGAGGATAAGTCAAAGAGCCATGTGTGTGCTCAATTTTTTATATACTCAATTTTTTATATACTTCTTTAGATGAATTCCATTTGTGGAGTCCGGTGCATTTATTTTTAGTTGAACTTCATTCGAATTTACTGATAGAACCGATTATTTGTGGTGTCATGTTTCTTATAATAGAGGCTGTGTATGAATTGTTGTTTGTAATGCCATTCGTACTTTAGAATATATTATTCATTAAAAAAAAAAAAAAAAAAAAAAGCTAACGTCTACACACCATTCCAACAGAGCTCTTCGTAAGGTTTTTTTTTTTTTTTTTTTCCCCTCAAATTATATCAGCACAAGTTATTTTAAACAATTTCATTTGTGTGTGTATCTGTAAACAATTTTTTAAATAGAGAGTAATAGTTATGTAGTTATGTCACTGACCTAATATGTAAAATTACTGTGGGTGATTTTTTACTTAGTTTTAATATGCGGAACCACACTGTGAACCCTCAACTTTCCTTTTCATCCAATGGAGTTACAACGCCACTACTCATATGAGGTAGGTCTCCCGAGACTTAATTTAGTGAAACCCACCACTTTGTGAGTGAGATTAAAACTATTTTTGTGCAGATGCCTATGCGTAGATTCATGGCCTCTCATTTGTAAGAACGACTAGAAATGGGTCAAGCTAGTTTGAGTTGAGCCCAATAGGTACTTTGAATCAGATAGGCTACCTAAAAGCTGATACAACTTGCATTATTGAAATTTGATGAGGGAAAAGGAAAGCCCCTAAATACCAACCATTTTGGATGTTAAAGAAAATCTCAGCTCATGACCTGATGATGGCCTGATAAGATATGAAGATGTCAACCACAAAAACAAGTTAGCCATTTTTTTTTTTTTTTTTTTGGTTATGGTACAGCAAAACTGGGTTATCATTAGAAACCCACTTTAAAGTGAAAAGGACCAAATCTTTTGGGTGGATAATATAACGTGAAGACCAACTCCAACAGCTCTTATAGGAAATGCTGCTTCTGGGGCACTTCTGTTTACCTTCTCCCGCCCAAAATCCCACTGAAAAATCAGCTTAAAAAAATAACTCGTTAGCAGATTCTAACCTTCCTACTGTCAATTCGGATGAGACCACTTTACAATCCAACAACACAACATTCTCTTCCATCCTTCTAAGGCCTGGCCTGCCACTAAGACACCGAATGCCTCCCACTTCTGGCCGAGGGAGTGGATTTTGTTTCCTCGGCGTTTGTAGAACCGGGGCTCTCCGACGTCTCGGAGCTGCTGTTCTCGCCGCTCCTCTCTTTGCTCGACCAGAGCTTAGAGAAGAGCCTTTTCGACATGATCAAGCCTTTCTTATTGGCTGCAGCTCTCTCCGCGTTGCTTTTGGCCCCATCAATGCCACTTCTGTTGCTGCCAACACCAACATCACCGCCTCCTAACCTTAGAGTAGCAAGCTTCCCTTTTAAAGCCTTGATATCCTCGGCTGTGGGAACAGAATCCCAGTCGTCTTCCGTGTTGGTTGTGGTGGACCTTGAGCTGCCGTGAGATCCACCAGGAAGTAAGGCCCGGATGGATCCCGGTAAGTCCGGTGTGCTGTTTCCAGCAGAGGTTGTGGCCCTAACCTGCTCAAAGAAGAGGACTTGCACAGCAACTCGCAAAGGTAGACGCTCGTTTTGCACGGCGTGCATGCAGGCCTCTGCTGACAACTTCCTGCAGTCCATCAATCTGCATATTCTCTTCCTTTCGCTCTTGCTGATCCCAGGGTGTTCCTGCAAGAAAGCGTCAGATTATAGATTTCATCCATAAATGAAACAAGTAATATGAAGGAAAACGCACAGTGAAGTTTCAACGATCAATGCTAGGGTGATTAGTGAACTTGACCCAAGAATCATTCTAAACTAACCTTAAGATACATATCAATGGCACGGTAAATACCATCATGAGATGGTCTTGAGAAGCCGGAGACCATTTCGGCTAGATTCAAAAACTTTGACAAAGCTAAATTAGGATCCCGCGCAATCTCAGCTAAGTAACCATCAACTAGTTTTGCTACTGCAACTTTGGAAGCGTCTGATGCAAGCCTTGGACTTTTAATCTCCTGAAATTCATCTTCCATGAGAGGATCAGCGCGAGCATTCTGTTCATGCGTCATGAAATCTTCAACCAGGCGTTGCACCATATCAAAGTCGTAAATGGTTGTTTCCCCGGCTGGGGCTCGAATTAAAAGATCCGCCACTGAGGCCTCTTCAAGCTGCTGGCTTATTCTTCTCATCAGTTCATGTCTTTCCAGTTCCCCACATTCTAATGTCATTGATGCTTTCAATAACTTAAGCAGGAAACCACAGGAAACACTGCCTTTCTCCGAAGGCAATAGCCGTATAATAGTCTCCACCACTGATCTATACTTTGACATATCACCACCCTGAATCATGCCCTTGCTAAAACCCGGCAGCTTTCTGAGAGCATATGCATGTAAGGCTTCTCCAATTATGTCACTAGAGATTCTGCCTTTTGCCTTAATAGTTGTTATCACTCGCTTGTACAAATCAAGTTGGAGCTCAGAAAGATCTTCTACCCACCAGTCCTTTGGAACCGTCGGTAATTTTCTAACACCATTCCAAAGAGGATCAGTACCATTTTCCGATGGGAGTTTCTTTCTGTTATAAGTATAGGACCACTCCACCTTGGAAGTATCAATGGAAGCCTTGGAAGCAATAGAGTCAAGGCAATGACTGACCACCTTAAGTTCCTCAGACCATGGAAAAAGAGACTTTGTTGTCTGAAGAACAATAATGGAGTCTTTCCAGCTCCTAAAAATGCTGGAGTTGAGGAACACATCGATCTTGTAGATAAGATTTCCTTTCTCAACAGTTTCATACATCTCAAGGTACTCTGCTGCACATCGGGCCGCAACCACATTGTAGGCGTTCAGGGTAACTGTCATACCATAACAGAACTTGGAACATATCTCAAAAGCAGCAGGACCACCTGGAATATCATGAATGTTAATTTCATCAGTGTTTTCTTCATTTGAATTCGAGACCAGTTTCTGCAAGCGTGCACTCTTGGACAACAGGGGAAACTGCATAAATTACAGGATAGAATTAGCTAACAAGCATAGGCACTAACAGAATAGCTAAATCTAATCTATCAAATTTAGATGACAACAATGTCTAAAAGCCCCATAACCGATATTATAAACGCAGAGACACATTGATGCAGTGACAAAACAAGTACAAATGATTTGGAGCATGAAAATTTGGTATTTATCCCCACATTTTTAAGAACATTTGAGAGATGAAGATCATGGCAGTTGATATCTCCTATTCACTAATTTAGAAAATAACCCAGTAAAAAAAGGGATTCATCATCCCATTTCCCTTGATAAGATGGCAGGTTCATGCTATTACATTGTTGTGAACTTCCTTAAGCCACAATTTGATGAACAAAAAAAAGTGACAAAAAATAATTTTTGTAAAAAAAATACATTGTTGTTGACCCTGTTGCTCCATTATGATAGAAATATTAGACAACATTTAAATAGCTCTTCTGCCATTAGAGGAACTAGAGTTCATACCTTGTGCAAATAGAACTTCACGCTTCCAACATTAACAACTATGTCTGTTGCCAATTCACTTGCCACATACCTGGATCCAAAAACGTTATTCCGGTTATCTCAAGACTAGCCAGTACAAGTAAATATTATCTACCACTTGTGAAAATTTGGAAGAACGAGTTTGGGAGGTAGTTAATTATATTAAAGTCCTTTGTAATCAGCTTTTAAGCCTAATTAACAGAATGCTAAATCAAACCATCTAGTTTGGTCGCAATTTTCAAATGAATTTATGAAGGAAAGATTGTTGAATCATTACAGACAAAAATACCAATTTTGTGAAGAATAGACATGTCAGCTTCATGAAATAAATCAATTTATGTGAAAACATTTAAAAGCGTGCCTTGCACTTTGGAGAATGGTTGCATGCTTAAACATTGCATTACCATGTGGAAATAAATCATAGTTCTCTTCAGTTTATTAGCAAAAGTAATGAGATAATCAAGAGTTAATGAAATAGGGGCATATATTCTTATGTCAAAATAAGAATGTGACCTTCTCCAATGATCATAATGGACCTGAAATAATGAACTTGTTACTTGAAATTCTTTACAAATACCTCTAAAGGCTAAAGGATAAATTTTGGAAAGACCCCAAGATTTGACAATCTAATTAAACCAGAAAATAAAGAAATACATCCCCAATTTCTAATTTGTTTTAAAGGATTAACTCAACAAGGGGAAACCACCCACAATTATCACAAACCAAAAAAAACAAAATTTTCAGTAGATTCTAAAGAAAGAAAGCCAATAAAAATAAAGGGCTCCACAGAGAAGGATCTCATACCTACTATTGTCCCCATCAGTCTGAAATGAATCAGGCTTAGATCCAAGTTTCATGAACTTCATTTTGGCCGTGTCAAGATCTACTTCTCTTTTCTCCTCCACAAATCTCAATATCAACTTCTAACAAACCTCCACTTTGAGACCAAAACTCACCCCAATAAAACAAATTTCAAAGGTCTGTAACAGCTGAGTACTTCTGGACGTTGAGAGAACAAAAGAAAAAATGGATCCTAAAAACTCTGGGTTTTTTTTTTTATTTTTTTTCCTCTTAGTATGACCGAATCTTTCCCACAAACCAAGGAGAGAAGATAGATAAATAAAGAGAGAGAGAGAGAGAACGAGAGCAAATGGTGTTAAGATTTTTAATAAATTCTTCACTTGAATGAGAAGAGACCAAAATCAGAAGTTGCTTCCCCAAATGATAACAAAAACCCAAGTAGCCCGGGAGATAAGTCAGCTTATGAGAGACACTGAGAGCCAAGTGCCCACCAGTCCTAAAACCCCCCAAAAACGTAAATAATAATAATATAAATTCTCAAGAAACACCCACTTGCTCAAAACTGACAGTGACACATTCTTATCCTTCTCTATTTGTTCATACTTACATTCACTTTCTTTTGTTTATCCAACGGATCAAAACCCACCAACCAAAAACCTTTTTTTGTTCAAAACCCGGTTAACAAAAAGCTTAGGAAACCAAAACCCACAAGAAGAACAGCAAAAACAAGCCTCATTCGCTTACGAAATCATGTTTTGTCTCAAGTGCAAGCCAAAACACCTGCATCAGAAAGACAGCATTTCTCGGTATCAGCTGAGTCAAAAAAGGAGCCAATTCTGGTGCGGTTCTGCGAGGAAAAATTATGCAAAGAGAACCATATATATATATATATATATAAACGAGTACCGATAAATATACATTTAGTTAAGTGGAATCTGACAGATTGCGAGAATCAAACTGGGAATATATGAGACGGAACATAAAAATCTCGTGTGTACTTGAGCAAATTGCCATGAAAAATATACATAAAAAGAAAAGAAAAAACACCCACCTCAGATTATACAAGGAAGATCAAAATAAACCAATTATATGAAGCAAAATGCATAGAAATAAATAGTATTAGAGAGAGAAAGAGAGAGAGAGAGAGAGAGAAGCCACCTTTGGGAATTGGGAGATTGTTGTTGTTTCATGGTGGCTTTGGAGAACTGGCGAGGAACGACAAAGGAACACAAAATATGTTCACTCACTGCACGAGCACTACTAAATCCGTAGAGAACCCCACACACCCACTAGGGGGAAGAGAGAGAAAGAGAAGGAGAGAGAGAGGCTAAAACCTAAAAAACAAACCACGACCAAACAAAAGGAGGAGAAAAAAAAAACACTCCCTAAAAAGAAAGAGAGCAAGAAAAAAAAGAGGGACATATATGAAAAAGATGAGCTGTTCCTCATCAATATATATATATATATATATCTATCTTTGACAGCCACCAAAGCCCAACACGCTAAAAGCCAACCTCAGACTCTCAGACTCTGTTCCCACTCTCTCTCTCTTCCCCCCTTTGAATCAGCACCACCGCCCCCACCACCACCATTACCTTTTGATTTTCTCTATCCATATATATCCTCAAAAACAAAACCAAAAAAAAAAAAGGAAACATTTTTTTTTCTTTTTTTTTTTGAGAGAAGAAAGTAATAAAGCAATTAGCAGGCTGCTTCAGAAGAGAAGAGAATAGGCGTGAATTCTCTCTCTCTCTCTAACTGTCGAAATAGTAAAGCACGCCAAGCTGACAAAGGGCACAACTTTGTTGCTCCCTTAGCCAAAATACAATACAGAGAGAGAGAGAGTAGTGAGTTCTTCTGGTTTTAGAGAGAGAATGGAACAGGAACAGCCCCCTTTGTACCAGAAAACGACTTTTCCATCTCCCTCTCGTACTTTCATAATAATCCATCCTTTCTTTATTACTTCCCTCTTTTTTTTAATTTTTTAATTTTTATTTTATCATTTCGGTCGTTCGTTTTTTTCAAAAGCGACGAAAAAGGTTATTTTATTTTAGGGAAAAAAAAAGAAAATAACTTAAAATTTGAGATGAATTAAAATTAATAAGTTAATAATTTACATAACTTAATAAATATGTTAAATTATTATTTTTATTCATAATTTATCTGGTTATAAATTATAACTTGATAAGTTATTATCTATAATTATTTATAATTTGTCTAACTATGAACCATAACTTAACAAATTTATTCATAATTTATCTGATTATAAACCATAACTTAATAAGTTATAATATCTTAATTTCTATAACTAAAAATTAACCTACATATCTTTTTAAGCTTGCATATTTTCTATTATTTTCCTTTATTTTATCTATTTTTCTCTTGTATTTATCGCGAGATGAAGCTCCTCTCAATATATCGTGGCTCATTGATTAATGGGCCTGGTCCAGGGGGCCAGGATGTGTCCATGACATGGCTCTATTCGCTTGGATGGCATTCGTTTTTGGACTTCTTTTTTCAAAAAAAAAAAGTTGAAAAAATGAAGAATTTACTAAGTCTATGAATCTGAACATTTATCTTTTATTTTTAATAAATATTTTTTTTAGTATAATTATTTAACTAAAGAAGTTATAAATTAAGAATAAAGAGTAAAAATTTTAACTCATACACTTTTAAGGGATATTTATCGAGATTATCCTTTAATTTTTAGAACTTTTATTTTGGGGCTAGAACATTCTTTTTAACCTTTAATAATGGTTAGAGCATCTCTAATGCAATATTATAATTAATGTACTAATTATAAATTTAACATTTGAGCGTAAAAAGTACTCTTCAATGTAATATTATTTGTTGTACTAAATTTCTCATATGCTATACTTTATGGTAAATTTTTCACTAATTATAGCATAGGGAAAATTTAGCATTTGATTACTATTGGTTGAAATGTTTACTTTTTCTATATAATCAATGCAACTTTTGTATTTTTTAATTATTTTAAAAATAAAATTTTACTTTTACAATTTTCAAAGCTTAATAATTATAGAAAAAATAGATTTAGCATTTCAAATAGCATTATGCATTGGAACAAATATAAAAATAACATACCATGTCATAGTTTTGATGCTAAATATACAATTGACATTAGTATTTACAATAGAGATGGTCTTATTTGAATCATTGGATTCAATTCTCGGTGCTCTAATATGTTAAAAATTTAAAGCACACAATATCATACTACTCTAATTACAGCGGTTAAAAATTTAATTTAACGATTAAAATAACAGTTCATATCGGTATTTTAAAAAAAATCCACTGTAGAAATTCACTTTATTTTTCTTACTTTTTATTTTATTTTTTGACAAATTAAGTTTTTTGATATAGTTATTTTTTATCGCGCTAATTTAAATAATAATAATTTTTTTTGTCACTCTCACATCAATAATTATTAATTAAATTTAACGTGACTTTAACAACAACAAAAGGATCAAAACCAATGGTAGTAGTGTTGAAATACTTTTCTCTTTCAATCTATAAAATAATAAAGCCGTTCGTTTTGAATATCGTACATGATTTTTTTGCGTTTTTGCCCGACGAGAAATAGATTTGCATATTAAAATTGACATGCATAGAACATTAGTCGGCATTATTCCACTAATCTGTATTTTTTATTTTAATCACATCGTAATGCATGAATCACGCTCTAAGGAATATTAATATATGATTTTATATGATCATGCACTCTTAGTAACAGCATTTTAGTTCGCTTTAACTTGTCAATTTTTAGTAAGTATTATTTAATAGATGAAAGAACAATAATTTTTTCTTAATTTTTTGAGGAAAACAGAAGAATATTTTTTTTATATATATAAATGAAGTATACAGATAGATCACAAGAATCTTTAAGAGAAGGTAACAATGTTAAATTTATATAAAGTACACAGAAATATACAACATATTTTTAACGTTCATACACGTGGATAAGGTTTTTGAGCAATATGTGAACGAGATACATCATGGGAGTCTGAAAATCACGTATAATATGAGAATTACTAATGAATGTGGAATCTTTTATTGCATCAGATGACACCTTTTAAGCGTAATACTAGGGATTGGTTTGGCAGGAAATATTAAAGAAAAAAAAAACTAATAATAACTCAATTGTTTTCTTCTCTCTTTTTTATTTTATTATCATTATTAATATTTTTTTACAAACGTTTTGTTGCCTAATTAGGCTTTTGTTAAAATGTATATGTCTACACATGTTTTTTTTTTTTTTCCTTTTCTTTTAGGAATACAAATGTTCTCTTCAAGATTTGCAATTGGTGAAGCATTTATTTCTTCTTAGCCCTTTTTAAAATCACAACATACATTTTCTAATCATTATATATATTATCAACGACAAGTCATGAAACTTTTTTTTTGTCACGTTACTTGTAACGACATTATTGGTGCTTAATACTACTATCCATTTTCATTTAAAAAATAAAAATAAAAAATAAAAACCTTGAAATCAATTTACCCAAATGATATACTTGAAATCAATGAGACTACTGGGCAACGCAATTTCGATTAATTCAATGAATCCAAAGAATAATGAAGACATGAATATTGGGATTAATTCGCAGCCTCTAAAACTCTATTCATGTCATTTGACTTAATGATCATAGACAAACCTAAGTTTTTGGTATAATTATTTTTCTCCTATATTTATTGACAAGTCCAATCAAAATAATGAAACTGTACATATATATTTATAAGATATAAATTGTAATATATATTTTTGTTTGTTTATCATGACCTACTCCTGGTGGACAAATTGTGACCACAACCCCTTTGCCTATTATCCTCTTTTATTCTCACCACCTCACATGCGGTGCTCCAATCCACTGCTCCCAATGTCACTAAACAGAGGAAAAGCCAATCAAAAACTGTATTTTATCACCAATAGGGGCTTTTATAATATCGTCTAATATATTCTCTTAAACACATCCCCATAATAATGCTTGCATTTCTTACTATTACTTTACGTCGAGAATCTAAAAACTTGCACACATATGCATATAATATACATAAAATATAGCAATATCTATATATGTCTATATACATATATATATATATATATTCATATGTATATATGTATGTAATAGCATGCAACACCTGCTGCAGATGGGAATATCATTGCCTTTAAAAGTTCAACCTTCAAGTTAAAGATGAGATTTATTCCAAAAGAAATGTCGGGATTCTTAATTAAAACTGACAAATTTGGCTCACAATCTTTGGAAAGATCCCATCCACGAGAATTGGTCGGGTTGAAACAACAATATTTAGCCTAATTATTTTGCTTTCAAAGGGTACGTATAAATATGTTTATATATATATTATAGGTTTGTGTATCCCACAAGATTTGGTCAAACGATTTATAATAATACATATCAAAATACCAAAACGCAACGTATAATATGTCACAACCGTCATTGAAAATGGGGAATTTTAGGTCCTACCGATACATATATACAGCTAAACTTGAAGCTCTAGAAATCTTCATAAAATACAACACCAAATTGTGGGGTACGTGCCCACTAAGAAAGATATAAGGGGAACATATATCTATAGTGGATGTCAATTGTATTTGGACTATATTTATGTCTGAACTTTGACCCATACCATGTGGTTTGCTACTTGTAGCGTCTTTTGCCCAACATTATCTAATGCCTCTTGTCTGATAAAACTAGTCATTTCTCCAGCACAACAACGGAAAAATTCCCTCTTTAAACAAGGGACCACAAATTTCAGTACGCACCTAGCACGATCATTTTATGATTTTGATTTTTTTCGTGAGAAAAATAACATATTGATAAGTCGTTTCGAGTCGTTAAATCTGTATCACATTTTGTCAAGTTTATTTATATCGTATTTTTATGAGATCTTAAGCAGATCCAATATACTTACCGTAATGAACCAGCTATTTATACGTATCTCTACATTTTGGTTAAACTGTTTTTACTCCTCATTCCAAAAGCATGTAATGGAATCTAGGTTCTAAGTTAAGTAGAGATTGATCACGTTTACAACTCACCATGGCACTTATTATAGCAAAAACCAGAGATAAAAAGAAGCAGCTTTATTGTTACTAAAATTTAGGTTATAATTATGGCAAGGCACATGGTCACAGATTCTCAAGTTCTAAAATGTAATTGCTTTAAAAACTTTTCATATGCAACAATTCCAGGACCACGAAGTAATTATGGTGGTCAATCTTCCCTGATGTGTCACTGACAATATTTTAACTGCAATATTCTCACTGCAAAAATCTTTAGCAAAAATCTAAAAGAACATGATGATGAG